TTATTTATTTATTTTTGCTGCAGATGGGCTCTTGCTATGTCGCTCAGGCTGGTTTTGAACTCCTGGGCTCAAGCAGTCCTGCCTCAGCCTCCCAAAGTGCTAGGATTACAGGCATGAGCAGATTTATCTTAACCACCACTATTATCATTTTTTACTCAGTCTTCTGTAAAAAAGACTGAGCCCCAGGGAGGCCAGGCAATTTGCCAGTGGTCATACAAATGAGTTTGAAAACAAAGTGTGTGTACTTTTCACCATAATACTGCTGTCTTATTTCAAAGGAGTAAATAACGCGATTCCAGGCAGGAGTGGAGGAGGTGGAAGGTATTTTGGGGAAGAAGGCCACTGGACAGAGCCTTTACAAATCTGAGTGTGAGAGGGGTCTACTCCTCCTCTTGCATTAGTTCAAGCCACTTAGCATCGGGGCCTCAGCTGAGGATCTGTAAGCCAGAAGTTTGTGATCCAGTAGTGCTGGGTTTCCCAGCCCATCTCTTCACGTTTGCTCAATGCTGAGAGAATGTTAACGGATCAGGGTGCTTCATGCACTAGTTGCTGGGCTGGTTTCTGGAAGACGCAGTCAGGAGGGAGAAGCCATGAGGTCAACCCTCATGTCAGGGCCACATTATGACTTTTGTGGGCCCTACGCATTTTTTCCTTCTTGGGCCTGTTCCTCCAAAAAAATTTCAAAATGAGATATTACCGCTGTGTTGGTATAAAGGGGAATATAATCCGGGAAGAATTATATTAACTTTTTCTTCCTATTTCAAAAGAAATTAAGACATTTTTGTAGGCCCCTAAAAGTATGGTGGGCCCTGGGTGCTGTGCCTGCTGAGCTCCTGCCTTGTGTTCCCAGAGTGGAGTGGGTCGGAAATCAGCTAACAATTGGTTGGTTCACTTTCTTTTTTTTTCTTTTCTTTTCTTTTCTTTTTTTTTTAGAAATGGAGTCTCAATCTAGGAGGAGTACAGTGACACCATCATAACTCCCAGTAACCTCAAATTGGGCTCAAGCAATTCTCTCACCTCAGCCTCCTGTGTAGCTAGGACTATAGGCATGTACCTCCACGACCGGCTAATTTTATTTATTTATTTACTTATTTATTTATTTTAGAGACGGGGTCTCATTTTGTCATCCAGGCTGGAGAGCAGCGGCACAATCACAGCTTGCTGTAACCTTGAACTCCTGGCCTCGAGCAATCCTCCTGTCCTGGTCTCCCAAAATGCTGGGACTACAGGCATGAGTCACAGCACTTGGCCTGACCAATTCACTTTCAAAAAGATGTCAAGGAATAGCAACTCCACAGCCTCTCTGATTTTAATCAAGGTATTTCCTCCTCAGGCTGGCTCTTGTTGGGTTCTGCAGGCTCCCCTCTTTTGGAGCTAGATACTCAGTGAACAATTTTGGCCTGTGATTAGTTATTGCACAAGAGATCCATACGAGTGTGCAGTAGCTTACCTAGTACATTGGAAAGAGTACAGGCGTGTTCTGTCACTTCTTAGATTTCCACGGTTTACCAATGTCTTCTAAACCTCAGTCATTCCATGTGCCCCTTTGCAAGTTTTGCCATATCTGGGTACCAGACGTGATAGTATTTACTTAACATGATTATTTAAGTTGATTCGAATTTTGAAAACCTCGAGTACCTAATCAAACCTCATCCTGGGCAAAAATAGCCATGAATTCAAGCATTTAATATACCAGATTTATGTGAAGCGGAGCACAGCAATAGTTGAGAGCAGGGACCCTGAAGCCAGGCTGCCGACATCTGAATCCTGGCTTTGCTTGCCACTTGCTAACTAGGTAACTTGGTGGATTACTTCTTCTCCTTGTGCCTTAGTTTTCTCATCTGTAAAATGGTGAATAACCAATAATACCTAATTCATGGGATTGTTGTGGGGATTAATTGAAATGACAATAGTTAACACTTAGCTAATTCTTACTGTTCAATGTGCACTGTTAATATATACAAAATTTTTGCATGCTACAAACCCGATTTTTTAAACAACTTTTAAGTACACTATTCAATAATTTCTAGTATATTCACTATGTTGTGCAACCATCACCATTATCTAATTTCAGGGTGTTTTTATCACCCTATAAAGAAAATCTGTACCCATTAGCAGTTATTCCCCATTCCCCTCTCTCTGCAGCTCCTGCTAACCATTGACGTGCTTTCTATCTCTATGGATCTTCCTATTCTGAATATTTCATGTAAATCGAATCATACAGTATGTGACCACTGTGTCTGGCTTCTTTCATTTAGCATCATGGTTTTGAGATTCATACATGTTGTAGCATATATCAGTACTTCGCTCCTTTTTGTGACTTTGGCACTGCCACACCGAGATGGCACCCCTGCCTGCTTTTCCCTGGCTGAAGGCCAGCTGGCTGGTGCAGGTTCCACATACTTTACGGAAGGGACGTGCTCTTGAAAATCAAAGTTTATGTTAAACCGCTCCACCCATGAGAAATCCTTCTGCCATGAAATAACCCCTTTGTAAAAGAACTGATGACAGACCAGAGGTCTTTATTGTGGTTTGTAAACTGAGGCAACTTCTAGATGGTGTTTAGAGACTGTTGCAGTCAAGAAAACTGTAATATTATGGAAGTTTCATGCTCCTAGATTATGTTTCTGCTGCAAGTGAGGGTCACCTGTCCCAGGTGTGGTCAGCAGTAGGAATGGGGTGGAGGGGCTTTCCGTTCCTTAAGGCCAGTGGCAGCCCATTCATACACTGTGTGCTTTCTAATTCTTTCTTCTCCCTACAAGGGCACTCCGTAGCGACGGATTTAAAACTTTTTCAGTCCTTGACCAAGAGGCCCTACAGACCACCCCTGATTATCCACCATAAAGACTGATAAGAAGAGTGGGGTGGCTTTTGATGAAACATCAGTGAGGTGCTATCTGTTTTTATAAAATGTCATAAATAAATTATTCCTTCATGTCAGATGCCAAAACTATGTTGTTGTTTTTTTAAACTGGCATACTGGCATTTTTTTTTTTTTTTAGACAGTGTCTAGCTCTGTCAACCAGGCTAGAGTGCAGTGGCATCATCACAGCTCAGATCACA